GGACTGAGTGGTATTGTTGGGTGGAACTGGAGGTGTATTAGAATCTGAGGAAGATGACTCTGAAGAATGTTGACTGTTATTACTTGAATCAGATTTAGAGTTTGAAGAGGACTGATTTGAAGGATCAGAAGAGGATGATACAGATGAAGTAATAGTTGAGGGTTTAGATGATATAGTTGAGGGTTTAGAGGGAAGAGAGATAGATATAGGGGCAGAAATAGGTAATGAGGATTCAGATGATAAAGGTGGTGTAGAGGGAAAAAGAGTTGAATAAGGGAACTTTGATTCATGAAAGATAACATCTCTAGATATATATTTTTCCTGAAGAAAATAGACATTTGTAACCTTTGTGAGTAGGAGAATATCCAAGGAAAATACACTCTTCAGAGTGAAAACCAAGTTTATGTTTATTATATGGTCTAATGAAAGGATAACAGGAGCAGCCAAACACTTTGAGGAAAGAATAATTTGGATGAGAGTTATATAATTTGAAATATCGTCTAGAATTGGAAATAGATTTGGATGGTGTTCTGTTGATGAGATGGACTGTAGTAGCAAAGGCTGCATCCCAGATATTAAGAGGAAGTGAGGAGAGTGAAAGAAGAGAGAGACCTTTTTCAACAATAGATCTATGTTTTCTTTCCACAACACCATTTTGATGGTGTGTGTGTGGGAACACGACTTTGTGAATTATCCTTTTTTCAGACAATAATTGATTAAAGGGTCTGAATTCTCCACCCCAATCAGATTGGATGGACTTAATGGAGACAGAAAATTGATTAAGAACATAGTTGTAGAAGTTGGTAAAAGCAGACAGAGCAAGAGGAAGAAACCAAAGACAGAAGAACGTTGTAGATACAATTGTGGACTACTCCCTTTCACCTCGAGTGCTCTCGGTTCAGGGAGTGGGGGACTCCCGATGGAGTATATGGACCCCGACTCCCCGGCCTGCCGACTATTTGGCCTGGACAACGATTCACTTACACCAACATACAACATTTATATTACTGTATAGTTTACATATTTATTGTATGTACTAGATTAGCTTTTTATACTATTAGTCCATTATTTAACCGAGTCTGTTGGGCCCATATTAGAGGCCCAGATCCGGATTTCCCTATATATACTCCTTATAGGAGGCTTGTAAACCGAAGTCATAGAAGACATTTCCATCCATTCTATACATTATCTCCTTCTCAATTTTTTGTTCATCTCTCCTTATTTATACAATATGGGTATCAATTATCCATCAACTTGATTATCTACTTTACACATACTTTCGCCTTCTCACTACATCTAATTGAGGGGCATGATGGGAACGTCAAAAACAAAAATTTTACTTCCTTAAAAATCATAGTCAAAGTGTGAAGTTTATTTAGGATCGAGGGTATTGTTTGTGAAAAAACATTTTGAAATAAGTGAGAAAGTATTCCACAAAATTCCTCGGAAACAATGTGTGTGTAAGCTTTATCCCACATCGAAAACTTTTAAGCAAAGTTGAAGTTTTTTTATATTTCAAATATTGATATTGGATTGTAAGTTTTGTTACAATTTCGTATTGGACATAGGCGAATTAAGCAAAATCAAAAGTCAAGATTCCCACGTCCATCACATTTCTTTCATTCTATATGCCGTGTGAGATTTATGAGAACGTCTGAAAAGTGAAAAACACAACGTAAAACAGCGGTGAGCACTTAATTTTCTTTTAGTACAAAAGACAGCAATGAAGGCAAAAAGGTGCAAATAAATGTTTAGTGCGGTGAAAGGGTTTGGGCATACCATATAGTTTAGAACTCAATGTGGTATAATCTCCCAAAATATGTGGTTCTTCGAATAAGAGATTCGACCTTTTAGAATGAATTTGAAATTCCATTTTCAACCACGTAATGACGGAACAAAAGGTAGCATATTTTGATTAAAAACGCTCTTTAGAGGATATTTCGTCAACATGATAAATCATACTATCTCCGTCCCGCTATGATTGTCCCATTTTACCTTATCGTTACATTCCACCAAGATTGTCTCATACCAAATTTGATAAAGTTTGTGTGACTCTATATCATTCTTACTTTATTTTTATGTTTTCAATTCAATATCAATCACAGAAACCATTTTTTATTAATTTGCGTGTCACTCTCTCTTGTCCTATTGTTAGCGGGAAAAGTACATGAATTAATTCTCTATTCGTGCCATTTTTGTTTGCCCATCTTTACTTTATAAGCCATTCTAAAATGTTTATATTATGCTCCGTAAAAGAAAGTACTTGTATTTTGTGATATTTTTTATTTATTTTTGTAGGTTTTGATTATGTAGTACAACTGTACAAGTCTCACTTTTCTTCGATATTTGCATCAACACCATGCCAACACTCAAAGTGACAATGGTAAAAGTGTACCGGTGGACGTAGCTCAACTGGTAGCCAAGGAGAAGTGTCACAAGGGTTAGGTCCGGTTCGAATCCCGACAACTGCGATAGAGAGATTACTATGCTAAAAATGCATAGGGCATCCGCAAGTATCGGGGATAGAGCCCCACTCTCTATCGAGGATTACATCCTCCCAACGTACCGTCCGGTTGGGGTTGGGGGCCCTCAGAGATGGAGTGTCATCTTTATTTACAATGGTAAAACTGTAAAAGTGTGGCCTCGATATGATCCTTGTTCCAGAAAAGCGAATTCATGATGAGTTTAAGGGGATCAATTATATTGTGGTCTTTAAAAAGTAATTTGATGTATTAAATTTCAATGCGAGTCACTGTTTTTTTACGTAAATCCTTTATTAATACGGAGTATGTGGTAAAAGTGTGGCCTCAATATGTGATTTTTTTGCAATGCGAGTCACTGGTTCTTTAAAAATCTCATATTAATATTAATAATTCCGAACTCTAAAAAATCATTCCTGCGATTTTGCGATGACTTCATTGTTTATATATACTATTCAAGAGGAAATTTTGTACAACTCTACTATGATTTCGTAAGTGACTCAAATCGATTTATTAATATAAGTCACTATTTTAAAAAACCTTTCTTACATATACAAGCATATAAAGAGCTTCCCTAAAATAGGTCATTCCATACTTAAAATAGGTCATTCCATTATTTCCATACTAGTCCAAAACAAAGAAATAGGCACTCTATAGTGATTGGGATCGAGGCTTCATGCGCACTAGAAACGTGTAGGAATGTGTCAATTTTGTTTAACTTCTTAGGTCATCTCCAACAAGCACCAAACTTGACACCAAAATGGTGTATTTGACAAAAAAATGCTCCAACAATAGCACCAAACTTGACACCATTACACCAAGATAGGGGAGGGAGGAATAGTTTCCGCCATATATGGCGTGCCCCATTTGTTGCACCATCAACTTTTTGTAATTTTTTTTTCTTTCAAATGTGACCCAAAGTTTTGGTTATTATAGTTTTGACCCGTGTTTAAAACAACAAAATAGGAAGTTTTACTTGGACTGGAATTTGTTGGTCCGGTCTAATTTGGTCTGGTCTGGTCTGAATTGATGTGGCCTGGTCTGATTTCTTTGCTCCTCCCGCTATTTATATTATTCAAGGAAACGAGTATAATGTCGGTTACTATTTAGCGGATACTATAAGTCTTACACGACATAATGAGTGCATGTATTATTATGCATAATATGATAATAGAGAATGAACGTGATATACATGCACCAGTTGAAGATGTGAGAGATACACCAGTTCCAGATGTTGAAGTGGCAGTTGATGAGGCGGCACGGTTCACTCAATTTCTTAGCCGACATAACCAAATTCACGACAAAGACGCTCATATTGAGCTCCGCAATGCGTTAATTGATCATTTGTGGGAACAATTCTCAAATTCTGATAACTAAACTAAGAATATTTATTTAATCTATTGATTTAAGTTTAAGTAGTACTTTAATAATGAGATACAATTTATTATAATATTATTGTAACGTTTAATTTTATGTGGTTTTAGCTTGTATTTGTGAAATATTGATTATTGTGTTTTAATTAGTAAAATGCGTGAAAATACATATTAAAATGATGTATTTTAGTTTGTATGTGTGAAATAATGTGAGAAATGTCAGAATATTAAATGAGGGGCTAATGTATAAATATAAGATAGTTAGATACTTAAATAGAAGAATGGTAAAAAATTAGTAAAAAGAATAAAAAGAGAATATTCCTTTTTGGTGATGAAAATGGTGTAAACTGTTGGAGATATAAAAAATGGTGTTAACTGTTGGAGATGGCCTTAGGCATGAGTACTAAATGCAACTTATGTGTAACTCATCCTATAGTTTTATATAAATGTTTTTATAAAGGATGTAAATATGTATCAACAATGTAGGATAGATATTAACTTAAATATGTATATTCAGTGTAAATATAATACACCACACTGTATATTTGTGTGAATGTAATACGCTACATTGTAAATGATATTATGAATGTTTTAAAACATTTGATTAACTTGTAATTGTAATACATCCTCCGTCCCTAAGTACACTTGGCACAAGGATTGAGATAGTAGTGAGTATTGTGTGGTGAAGAGTCTTGCAGAGATGAGAGAAATGTGTAAGAATGTGTGAGAAATGCCGTAAAACACAAATTCTTTGCCAAAAATTGAAAATGAAAGATTATTTTGAATGGAAGAAAAAGGAAATTTGAAAGATAATTCAGGGGAATTGAGATATCCATTGGAATTTAAAACGTTCTGTCATGTTGTATGCACTTTTCCATCATTTGCAATGGAGTCAAAAACTCGCTATTTTTTGGCTTGAGAATATGATGGAATAAAGCAAAATGGTTCACTAAACTGTCTGCGCTTCTTTGTTATGAAGCAGCGGTCAATCCAAGCAATTTTGGACGCGATGTTCACTATGGGTCATCCGGAAACAGTCTCTCTGTGCTTTAGTACAGAGGGTAAGACTGCGTACATCCGACCCCCCTTACCTCACCGTAGGTGGGAGCCTCTGCGACACTGGGGTAATGGTGATGATGATGTCATGTTGTATGCAGATTATATTGACATCACCATTAGGGATATAAGATATTCTCCCATTTGCAAAAGAATAAACAAATCAATGTGCATTTAACATCAATCAAGCCATCAATCTATATCGACTAATTACTCTGAGGTAGTAGAACTAAGAAGCATATACAGCACAAGCAATATAATGCTATACAACAATGAGGGAAAGCTGTCCACACATTTAACAGCAACAGACTAAAATCTTGTTTTACGGAATTCACAATCCACCTCCACACGACCTTGCAAAATGGCCTATACAAATCCATCCATGATCCTGCTAATTAACGGGTTTGGAGCATGACGAACCTGATGAGGTAGGAATTGAGCATGCTTCACCGGTCACCGACTTTTTTAGTTTCTGATTAGCAGCTTCGCTGGAAGGCCCAGGTTCCGACTCATCCCCGATGTACAGACAATCAGGAAGCTTTACAAAGTGAACCAATTGGAGTTAGACATCCGGAATAATTAAAAAAAAATAAGAGTATATGAAATGCAAATGTTAACAAGATTATCGTCAGCAGCACCTTATAACCCCAAATGATTAGAGTAGGTGGACTAAAATTTAGTGTCAATTATTATATCAGTGAGCACTATAAAGCCATGCAAAAGGCATACAAGTGAAGTGTTACGTTGGATGACCTTTCTATGAGAAACATAAATATTGAACACATTACAAGATCAAACACTCTAACTTCCCAAAGAAGTGGTGTTTGAGTTATTGAGTAGAGTATAACTTTTTACTTTAGTCAACTCCACCAAGGTACACATTTTAAAAGTCATGAATGCTCACTTATACCCCTAAAACTAATACGATAGTAATAGTGTTTGCAGTAATTGACTCAACTGTTTTTCACATGTCTTTACAAGAATTTTATTTTTTTAAGTTATACGGAGTACTACGTAATTGACTTAAAATTGGATACTACTTTCATTAAAAATACTCTGCATTGGGTGAACAATCTATTGCGGTAGAATCATGCATTAGGATTTCACAATAAACTCTTATGATCATGACAGGAGGGAGACATAAGAAATAAACACAAAATGATGTACAAAATCTAACAAGGAAAGAACATGGACTTGTATGATATAAAAAATCAGACTATTTACCTCGAGTTGATTTAACATGTCGATCGTTTCATTCAGATCACACTTGTTTACTATATAAACGTGGGAGAGTGACTCCTCTGATATGTCATGAAAGTTAATCCGCAGACAATTCATGTCGAAGTTATATTGCATATCCATAAGCTGTGTATCTGTGGGCTCAGAATCCTCAGATTGACCTCGAGAGGATGAAGCGTATAAGTTGTCACTAGGAGAAGGCTGAATGCTATGAGGCTCAGAACTCTGGGGAAACTGCTGAGGAAATTCTGCTGGTTTAACTATTCGTGGCAGCAAGCCATCCTTATTTCCATCCTCTCTTTGGAAGAGTGGCACGTAAACTTCAGCGTGTGGATTCAGATCAGATTTTCCTGTTTCCATGGCTGCCCAGCACATATACTTTGCTGCTGAAGCACAGAAAACAACAATATCAGCATGAGAAGCAGGAAATAATGACTATTGCTGATTTACCGAAGTGACACTACATAATACTCAATAGACATACAAAATCGACAAGCATATCAGGAATCAAGTCCTGATTAAGTATATGCACTTTATTCTTAAACGTGAACACCCCAAATCACATAGTCACATTTTTGCAGTACTTTGATTAACAAACTACATGTTGCTAATTAAGGTTCAAAACCCTTAGCAAAGCTAAGGACCTTCTCAATGACATAATGAAGCCAGATTTACATCAGATGTCCAAAACGCAAACACAACCGTCAACAACAAAGTGGCAATTTAATTTGCATCATGCATTGGTGTATAGCTATCTAAGAAAACGCTTGAATTGACGAAATGCAACAAATACATTACAAGATTCTCAAATATTCAATTCAGTACACTAATTGAACCGCAAGAAATTCCAAATAATCATCTACACATCAATCCACGATTAAATCATAAAAATAGACGCATATATGCCACGCAAAACGATACTTATAATAACGATATACATTCAAAATGAAAACGATCAAAGATCAATATAATCACGGATGAAGCTGATCAATGATACAATATGAATAAATGAATAACAGGAGAAGGAAACGAAATAATCCACAGGCACGTGCGGGATGGAAATTCAAGAAGACAACGAGATATCGCGACTGATGTCGACGAAGATTGATGAGAGCGATCTAACCTGCGAGAAGAGTTTCGTTGGGAAAGAGGAAATGGCTTCGATCAGCAGGTAGAAATTAAGGTGCGATCAAAATTGAAAGAGACGGTTATCTGATCTCTCTCTAATGTGGTCTGCCCTTTCAGTTACCTACCTTCCGCTTTATCTTTGGATTTGTTCCCTGATATTGACTTTTACACTATTCACATGTTCTACTTTGACAACGTTTTATTTATTAATGTAATAATATTATCTTATGAAAAAAAATATTTTTAAATTTGTCTCATTGTAAATTTTCATAATCTAATTTTCTTAATTTTTTTACTAATACAAAATCATTTATATTAATGGTCAAAGTTGTATCTCGGCAAGTGTGAAATATTGACCGTTGCATTTATTTAAGAACGGAGGAAGTACCTTCCAACTACACCCGGAACAAACTCAACAAAGCCAATTTCTTAACTTCTAACGGGCAAATTATGTCCCGGCGCACCATGAGGATGGTGTGCCGGGTCCCAAAAGTGTTGTCAGTGGTGAATAATAATTGTTAGAATCGGGGTGACTAATAATAATTATAAGGGTGTAGATATATGGCTGAACGGGATATCACTTCTAGTCACGTATTAAATACGCTTTCTAAAAGTTTACTATCTACCTTTATCACAGTAACCGGATTACAAGATAGAACTTTTGGGATAAAAATAAAGTGTATGGTGTATTTTAGTTACCAATAAAATAACACCGAACAAGTGATTTGTATATAAAGTAGTCTAAATATTTTATTACTATCACTGCAGATAACAGTAATAAAATGAGGCAACGTAAATGACGAGCGTGACACAATAAAATTATGTCACTCTATCTGCGTTCAACACCATCTTCCCCTTTTATAGAGTAAACAAAACTTTTCTAAATGGTTATGTCAATTCAATCAAACAATACGTTGCATGTTTATCAAAATAAAATTGTAACCGCCATGCGTATTGTAGGAGTGTGTCCATTTGAAAGTTTACATCTTTTATATTTGAAAAACAGCCACGTACATACCTTTTGATTTAGTAATCAAATAAATTTACATCCCAACGGCGGGGGCTTCAACTTTACCATATTAAAACATTTTAAAATAATTTTTATTTCCAATTTGAAAAGATTATAAAATGGGCACACATAAACCATTTAAAATTATTCATTGTTATTATTATTATTCAAATTATAAGTAAAATGAAATAACACAATTTGAATAACAATAATTACAATTAAATATTATTCTTTAACATTATCTTTAATATTACACTTATATTAAGATAATGTTCCAAAGATCATGTTGAACACTTGAGCTCTATTTCTCAATAAATTTCCAACAATCCTCCTCCATTTATTGAGAAATAAATCTTGCTCAAAACTTGCCAAATAGACTACTTATCAAGATTTATGCATAATTGAAAGTGTCGTAAAGATTGAACTTTCATTTAGTGCAATATTCTTTACAATATTTCAGATCATAATAGTAGACTAAGCTTTGAACTATATAACCACATTGAAATACTAAAGATACTACACACATAAATCTTTATACAATTTCACTTAGAAACTTGACACTATTAACAAACTTGTGTCCATATCCATTCATGAGCTCCAACAAGTAAAGGCTTAAACTTGGTGAATAGGCCGCCATTCTAGCTCACATAGGTAGACTTTTTCAAACCGTGTTCTGCAATAAAACACTTTATCAAAAGATCTATTAAGACATAGTCAACCTCATTACACATTGCAGACTCAAGCACTTACCTCGGGATGGTTATTATTAAAAAGTGCTCCAACCACAGAGTGACTTACTCATCGTCATTGAACTCAAGATCTAGCATTGTACTAGACGTTGAGTTGGGCTTTCTTTCACTTGTGATTATTTTCTAAGGACTTTAACCACATCCCTTTTGCTGTTTTGTACACCATGTCCCTTGGCATCGCTTTTGTAAAAGGATCAGCCAAATTCACATGCGTTCGTACAAATTCAATCACAACAACTCCAGAACTAATAAGTTCCCGCACATAGTTGTGTCTCACTCCTATGTGCCTTGACTTACCATTGTACACATGGTTATAAGCTTTTGACAGAGTTGATGCACTATCGCAATGGATTGATATCGGGGCCATAGGTTTAGGCCAAATTGGGACTTCTGACACTAAATCCTTTAGCCATTTCGCTTCTTTACAAGCTGATGTTAAAGCTATAAACTCCGAAGCCATGGTAGAGTCTGTGATACAAGTTTGTTTCTTAGATGCCCATGATATAGCACCTCCTCCAAGAAGAAATAACCATCCACTTGTGGATGAATAATCCTCTTGATTAGTTATCCAACTCGCATCCGTATAACCTTCTAATATAGAGGGTTCACTCTTATAGCATAAACTGAAGCTCATTGTTTTCTTTAGATATTTCAGCACGCGCTTCAAGGCTTGCCAATGAAATATACTAGGGTTACTAGTATATCTACTTAGCTTGCCTACCGCAAATGCAATATCTGGTCGGGTGCTAGTCATTGCATACATCAGACACCCAATTACCCTAGCATATTTCAGCTGTGATACAACATTCACATTATTTGTGATCCATAGACCGGTGAGCAATTCAAACTCCCAAATCTTTTCAACACTTTCTCTATATAGTTAGATTGTGTTAAGGTGATTGTATCACCTTGCTTTATTATCCTGATTCCAAGGATAACTTCCGCTTCACTCATATCTTTCATGGAGAAGTTTGAACATAGGAAAGCTTTTGTCTCTTTCACTTGCCTCAAATCAGTGCCAAATATGAGCATGTCATCCACATATAAACAAATAATGACACCACCATGCTCATTAAATTTGCTATATACGCACTTGTCTGATTGGTTAATTTTAAAACCATTTTTAAGCACCACCTCATCAAACCTTTGATGTCATTGTTTAGGTGCTTGTTTGAGACCATACAAGGACTTGACAAGTTTACAAACTTTCTTTTCTTGTCCTTTAACTACAAACCCTTCGGGTTGTTTCATATACACCTCCTCCTCCAATTCACCATTTAAGAATGCAATTTTGACATCCATTTGGTGAATCACAAGATTGTGAATGGCTGACAAAGCAATTAACAATCTTATGGTAGTTATTCGGGCTACCGGTGCATATGTATCAAAGTAATCAATACCATGTTTTTGTTTCAAGCCTTGTGCAACCAATCTAGCTTTAAACTTGTCAATGGTACCATCTACTTTCATTTTCTTCTTGAAATCCATTTACAACTGATTGGTGTGCAACCAGGTGGTAAATCACTTAGAACCCAAGTATTATTGCCCATTATTGAATCCATTTCATCATTCACGGCCTCTTTCTAGAAGGAAGCATCTTAAGATTTCATTGCCTCCTCAAAAGAGTTAGGATCCTCCGCAACACTATAACAATATAGTGTTTGAGTTACGACTTACAAGGGTCTCTCTTGATCCTTCAACCAAATATAATTGGAAATCGGGACCAAATGACTTTTCTTTTCTAGCCCTCTTACTCCGTCTAATTTCAGGCTCATTTTCATGATCCTTTTCCAATTCATGAAAATTTAAACTACTTGGATTGAGATCAATATCCTTTGGTCTAGGAATAGAAGTGAACCGCTTCTCATCGAAAAGAGCATCCCTAGACTCAATAACAGTATGAACCGCAATTGAGTCATTCGGTTCAATAACATAGAATCGATATGATTTACTATGTTCAGCATATCCAATAAATATGCACTCTACCCCCTTTTCACCTAACGTTTTCCGTTTAGGTTCCGGCAATCTCACGATTGCCCTACAACCCCATACCCTAAGATAACTTAGTTGGGGTGTTCTTTTGTGCCAAAGTTCATATGGGGTTGTTTTATTTCTCTTGTTAAGAACTCGATTAAGAATATAACAAGCAGTTAACATAGCATCACCCCAAAATCCATTACTTAAGCCTGAATCAGATAACATGGATGTTGGTCCAAAATAGGACGCTCGTAGGCTTTTAGGAAAGCTACGTACGACACTCAAGCAAGAATTAGGAAAGTACGAATATGGAAAGTTAGCCAGAAAAAGCATATAGAAGTTGCCTCCCCTAATCTGAATTACAACCCGCCTTTTATAGGCGTATACAAATCGTAACCGTTACCGATAATAATGACTAATTAATTACAACATTAATACGGAATTAAATACATAATTAATAGCGCATTAATTGCTCGACCATTACTTTTCGCGGGCTAGGAGGTCGGCCGGACTGGCAGGCTCCCCGCCGGGCTGACAGGCAGGCTTCAGGTTATGGACTTGGATCCAAGTTCGGGGCTTGGTCTGATTAGGCTCTGGGCCTAGTCCCATTACTCCATCACGAGTCCCCCACTCCCTTAATCGAGTAGTAGACTCGGCTAAGAGGGAGTAGTCCAAGTCAGTTGCTCTTCTCCGAGACTAGAAAATACCCGCCCTTATCCATGTTGGGGAGATGCCTCATTAAAAACCTTTATTAGGAAAAAAACCAATGGGAAAAAATCCTAATGAAGGGAAAAAGAGTACATCTGACGCCCCCAAGATGAAGCAAGAGGTGAGATCCTCAGCCTTTATTGCAATGATCGCCATCTGCGAATAGGATGGCTAGAACTGTTCTTCTCGTCGGACTCACACTCGTCAGGTTTGTCATTTTCTTCCTTGAAGACGGTAAGACCCTCAGTCCTCCACTTCATTCAGTTATACCTACACATAAAAGAAACTAGTGTATAATAGAGCATCTGGCCTGGTGTCGAACCACGGCTCGGTGTGTAAGTGAGTCGGACTCGCTACTTGAAAAGAATGACATCAAGTTCCCAAGTTAGGCTTCAACTCAGTCTCCGAAAGAAAGATTGAATCCGCGAGTAAGTGAGTCGGACTCCTCACTCGAATGGATAATCCAACCCCAAAGAACTAAAGTATATCAACCTTTTCGAGAAATGTGAATGTCAATTAAGTGACAAAATTGCTCGGAAGAGCGTGGCTCTAGGCCCCTAATAAGAGTTTAACTCGCCGCCCGAGGTTAGTAGTTCGAACCCGCAAGTAAAAACTTTTGAACGGGTGACTCATCCCCCGAGGTCGGGGTGTGATGCACTTGGAAAGGGTAAAAGCACGC